ATCGCTTTCAACTTTGCTAGATGCTGATCATTCAACTATAATATATGGTCAATACATTCTTTCGCTTCGAGAGTTGGTATACACTTCAGAGCTTTACTTGAGCAAAGTGACTTTTCAACATGTTTCGTTCACAAACCACTCAAGATGATAAAAGGCTTCGAGGAAAGGAGAATACGAGTTAATGAATGCATGATGAAGAAGTTTGTTCGCCATGAAATCGTTAAGATAATTGTTCGCTACAAAGAAGTTCAACCGAAGCACCACCTGTCAATGCAATTCATTAAGCGAATGAGAATAATTGATGCTCATAAATTATTTAGGATAGTATTCGTTTTTGAGATGTCGTTAAATGAAATGAGTTCATGAAACAAGTGAGATGAGATCAAAAACTTCGATCAACAAACTTCTTCAACATGAATTTACGTTCAGATAACAGTTGAGGTGAACACAACTGCAAAACGGTGTTAGGTCAAAATACTAACGACATTTCGCCTAAGAAATGCTTCGCAAAGGGAACTCCTCTTCACTGTTAGCCACAGCGTTACGAGACTTGCACACCGAAACAAGCATATCATTCCACTCGACGAAAACTTNAATTAAAATTTGAGGAAAGGGAGAATGATGAAAATGTGATTGATTCACTTCTTTGACTACTTGTTCATCTAGTTCGTGCAACAAACTATATGGAAAATTCAAAAGAGCAGTTAAAATTGGACCGTTTGTGAAATGCATCATTATTAGGATTTCTATTTGTACGGGGACGGTCGTTCGAGGTTTTCGTCGTGTTCACTTACTATTCACGGACCATATTTGGAAGTATCAATTAATTGGGTGAATTTTTGATGTTTTGATTGGAATTAGGTGAATGCAATTAGGTGAATGTGACGACTGTATTAGGTGAATGCAAACTGAATGGTGTTGTTCGATGGTGCCTTGAACACTTCGAATTTTTACAGGAATTTGAACATACGTTGAGTTACATAAGTCTCAGCCAGGTTGGTGCCAGTACATGGCACCGAATAACTCACAACCGAATGATCTGTCTGCTTCAGTGTTTCACGATAGTATCAAGTGAATAGCAATTCATGAAACATTCTGAGAATCTTTCAGAAATCCGGCAATCATGCAACAGAAAAAAAATGGTTTAAAAGATGAGCAATTATTGATACCTGGATCATCTCTCAATAAACATTTCAAGTTAAAAGCCCCGATCAGTGCGGGTGGTTTCGGACAGGTTATATCAACAGTTTCTGAGAGCAATCTCATCGAGCACGATTCCCTTAATATGTGACCTGAAACAAGCACTAGATTTATGACTCATTGACACATAAATACTTCGAACGAGTTCAGATTGTCTTAACTAAAAAATTTGAGGTTTATTCTGGTGTCAACGTCAACAACGGCTATCCAGTGGCAGTAAAAGCTGAATCAATCAATGCCAAGGTTAGCTGATATTGCCCAGTGAAGTGTACTTCATCATTACCTCATGAAATTTAAATTGCTTAGGAATCTATACTATTGTTTGCGAAACCGCAACTGTTTTCAATCCCGAGATCGGAATTAAATCTCAGGATCGTTTTTCAATACAGAGATAATCCTGGGACTAAATGACGATCATAAATGGAAGAAAAGACAAACGAATAAGTTGACGGTCATTTTTCGAGTTAATATCTGCAATTTATGATTGTCTTCAGATTGGTCTGTTACGGATTGAAGCATTTTGCTTGGAAACGTTGAATCGTTCCATACGACAACTTTACCGAAAACCTCCAAAGGAACCAATTCCCAATTATTATGGGTATGGTGAAACACGTAATGTTCGATATATGGTAAGA